GGGGTCACGAGTGCAGCTCTGGGGGCGCGAGTCGGCTCACAGTGTGGCTCTGCGACGGCCCGTGGCCGTGGCTTTGAGGAAGGCGCAGCCTTGTGCAGAAAATACCTCCCCAGGTTTTTGTGAGGGTCAAGTGTGCTTGTAAAATACTATTTTAACACTTACTACCTGTGTTCTCTAGGGAAAGAATAGCCATTGTTTAGGGAAACACCTTGATAAGTGGTTTCAGGCACAGGGGACAAGGCCTAAGGAGAAAGCTGGGCCTGAGCAACATGCCGGGAAGGTGGGGCCTGCAGGAAAAGGCTCCCGTGGGAAATCAAGACATTGCAAAACAGGGACGCCTAACCCCAGGGCGTCAGCAGGTAGCTCCACTGTCCCTCTGAGCCTTTAGGGAAAGCTGGCCACTGAAACCGCCTTCCTGGCATGTGGCAGTGGCATTTTGTGGAGAGAAACAACTGGGGCTGTCTTTAGGTTGGGAAAAGAGTTAAAGATCCCCAAATGGAACTAATCCAGCAGGAGGAGATTTCACAGGAGCATCAGGGGGCATCTAAGCCCTTCCTTTGCTCTTCTCCAAGGTGCTCAGGAGAATGGGGTCTCCCACTGTATCTGGGGAGAGAGTTTGGGCAGAATCCACTTTAATCGTAAAGGGACAAGGGACCAATGACCCTGATGACCACTCGGATTCCAATTACAGCAGAGAATAATAAGAAAGTGGAAGTGCATGGCACGTGGGAGGTACCAAACAAATGTCTGTCAATCATGATTTCAAAAACGGCGTTGGTGACAGCTAGGCGCCCAGGGAAGCCTCCCTTATGGAGAGACCCCTCCTTTCCACTGTCCTTCTCTTCCCCCTCGATTTAGCAAGCGTCTATCAAACATCCGCTTGGTAGGAAAGGCTGAGAAAGCATCCCAACAGGCACGATCTAGTGAGGGCAGCAGATACAGATGTTGATAATTGCAACTCAAATGGGATGTGGTAAGAGCTATAAAAGAGCCAAAAATAGTGCCTTGGGGCACTGAGGAGAGAGTTTCATTCTCAGTAGAAGATTCAGTGACATGGGGTGGGACAGGTCCCGGCAAAGGGACGGGCAGGATGTGTCTTCGTCAAGGAATCACGGAAGCTTTTACAAATGATGCTCGTCCTGTCAAATGTGGTTTTAACGGAGGAAGACGGAGGACTCAGCCTGAGAAACTGGGGGAATTATAAGTCCCAGCAAAGGGGACAGAGAAGGGAGCACCAGCGTGGGAGCTGGAACACCAGCTGCAGGGCCTGGAAGCCACCAGAAGTCCACCAAGGAGGAGGAATGACAGAGGGCCTTGAGCAGGGGAGGCTTTCGGAGAAGTGGGGCTGAAAGTATGGTTCGAGTGGGGCAAGAGAGATTATGGGAGGGGAGAACTGGAGGCAATGAGCAGGCAATTCTTTTAAGGACTTTCTGCAGAGAGAGCCAGAGAAATGGGGTGGTGGCTGCAGTAACTGAGAGAAGGTTTGTTTTTGAAGATGGAAGAAACACAAGTGTGTTTAGATGCTGATGGAAAAGCTCTAGCAAAGGGGGGAAAGCGATGTGGAAGAGAGGTGGGGGCAAGGGGTGGGGAGGAGCACAGGGCGTGACAACCGTGAGTGGCAGAGAGGGCAGGGCTGCTGTGCGGAGGGCGACACTGAGCTTACAGGGGACTCGTCCATGACTGCACTTCCTGATCTGTACCATGTGTCCCCGAGCACTTGAGAGGTGGTGTAAATGCAGAATACTCACTGGATCTTAAAGATGTGGCACCGAAAATGCAAAATGTTGAATTAACAATTTCTTACACGGACTACATATTGAAGTGACATAGTGCATCTATTGGGTTAAATAAATATATTATTAAAATTGATTTCACCTGTCACTTTTTTCATTTTGTAATGTGGCGACTAGAAAATGTAAACTCACACAGGTGGCTTACATTAGGTTCCTATTGGATGGCCCTGGTCCATAGCAGGAGACGGCTCATTCGTTTATGCTTTTTCTATGGCTGCTTTCATACGGGGTTGAGCACTTGCTGCAGAGACCAGATGGCCTGCAAAGCCTAAAAGATTCCCTCTCCCACCCTTTCTGAACATCTTGGCTGAGCCCTTGTCCACAGTCATGGGCAGGAAGGCCCATTACAAGTACAGGTTGGTGGGTACCTGTGCATCATATGGACGATTGCATTTAATTCTCCCAACAATGTCAAAGGCAGGCAGTGTTTTATAAAGACAGAAACTAAGACTAAGAAAAGTAACATGGGTAGAGTAACACAGCAAAACAGCTACAGGTCAGGGACTTGAAACTCTGTTCTGACTGTGACAGCACCTCTGTTTTCTTTGGGGCTTGGTGAAGAAGCCTGGTGGTCAGGCCCTTTCCAATGCTTTCCTAAACATAGGTAAGTTGGAGCCCAGAGGATCCTTGATCAAGAGGGATACTCACCACACCCCAGTATGGATAGTAGTCGGAGTGCATATATAGAGAGTTGACACTCATATCTGTGATGAAGAGCATGATTCCAACCATTGAACAGATTATACTGATGATATTCAAGCCCAAGCTTCCATTCAGCTGAGGAAGACACAAGGGTCAGTGTGGGAGAGGGAAACAGTTGTAGCTGAGATGAGTGGAGCCTCAACACGTGTTTCTTAATGTGAATTTTGAGAACCCAAGTTCTGCAGCAAGAGGTGCTCTGTGCAAAATAAGGTTGGGAGTAAATTAACTTTGAAAACACCTGGGTTGCACAAAGTTAAACAGGTCTTTTGTACAGGACTTCTCAGAGCCTTTAACAAGGATTATGGCTCTTCCACAGAGGGGACTACTAAATAGAGATTTCCCCCCAAAGTTTACCTAACCATTTTCAGAAAGTATCTCGTGGGACAAGTATCCCCAAGAATAATTTTTGGCAAACACCTGACTCATTTATCCTACAGGAGATGGGCAGGGGACTCAGCCCAAGTGTCTCGGCATATGACAGAGTCTGATCTCCATGGTTCCGGGGCCGAGTGCAGAAAGGCATGCCCAGGAGTGAGCTCCCCTTGGAGATTTTCAGATAGATCTCGGCTGGCGCGGGACTTGGCCATCCTAAGGCTCCCTGCCCCAGATAACCTGCTGTGAAAGAAACAGGCACTTTCTGGGCCACTGGTAGAGGGACACTAAGCCTCGCGGGCCCATGTTGACTCGCAGAGCTTGGTTAGCGGGGTTCCCCGGGAAGCCGCTGCCCGAGCCCCCTGCCCCCTGCAGAATGCCTGGCGCCGCTGCGTGCTGCAGGCGGCCTAGGGCCTGCTCTGCGGAGGGCAGGCCTGTGCCCCTGGCAGCTTTGTGCCCCCTCCTGTGAGACCCTCTTGGCAAAGTGATCCTCTGTCTCTCCACACCCGATGCCTCTCTGAACGCGGCTGTACTGCCCTAGCTTTCCCGAATCTTCCGCACCCTCTCCCACCGTGACTCTGGCCAGGCTCGTGGGCCGTGTGAGTGAGTGTGAGCGAGCACGCGTGTCAGCGCCCCGCGTCTGGTTACACGCAGGTGCAAGGCTGAGGAGGGGTCGTGCGGGCTGCTTCCCCCCCTTTGTGTGTCTCCCACAGGCCCGCAGCGGGGAGAGCCTGTCTCAGATGCCACTTACCAGGCAAGAAGAATTTGGCTGCTTTTCGGATGCCACTGTGAGGGATCCTGAAATGATGAACTGGCACAGAAGAGAGAGGGGGGGATTAGAGAGAGGTCAGCGGTCAGGGCCCCACTTTCAGGCTTCTGCGATTCTGGTCACACCTGAATTCTCTCTCACTAGCTGGGTTCCTCTAATTGGAACTCCTGCTCGCCTCCGGGAAAAGAATGAATGAATATTGAATAAGCTCATGAATGCACCACTTGGCAGGGCAGTGAACTGGGATAATTAATATTTTAGGATCCAGCAGACCTCGTTTTAAAGCCGAGCTTGAAACTCATGTGATCTTGGGTAGGTTATGAATTTCTCTAAGTGTATATTTCCTCTTCTAAAAACTGGAAAAAGTTTGTCTTTCTAAGTGTTATTATCATGAAATAACTTGTCCCTTGCATGTAGCATTTGGTATATCTTGACCGTGGTAGATCCTGTACATGGTAGACACTCAATAAAGTTACTTCTTTCCTTGTTTTTTAAAAATTTTTATTCTATTTTATTTCATTTTATTTTATTTATCTTTGTTGTTGAAAGGATTATACATGTCACCCTTTTCCCCCCTATTGATCCCCTCCAGCTGATATCTGCTCTTGCCTGTCCCCCTCAGGCCTACTCCACACTATTGCCTGTGTCCAAAGGTTATGCATATGCATATAAGTTCCTTGATTAATCTCTCTCCTCTCACTTCCCCACCCCCACCTTCCCTCTGAAATTCGTGAGACCGTTCCATGGTTCTATGTCTCTGTATCTATTTTGTTTATCAGTTTATTTTGTTCATTAGATTCCACATATGAGTGAGATCATGTGATACTGGTCTTTCTCTGATCGGCTTATTTCACTTAGCACCGAAACACAAATTAGAAAGAATCTATGCACCCCTATGTTGATAGCATTGCAATTTACAACAGCCCAAGCACCCATCAGTAGATGAGTGGATAAAAAAAGCTGTGGGACATTTATACCATGGAACACTAGGCAGCTATAAAAAAGGATTTCCTTGTCTTTTATTTTCCCACATGCACATCTTGTTGGCCTGCCAACAGGATTCAGTCTGGCATGGGGGCTCTGGAGGGAAGAAGGGAGGGGTTCCCACATTTTCACGGCTTTGAGATATAAGCCCAGCCACAGTCCTTGCCTGTCTACAATCGAGTGAGTACCTTTTAGTTACTTAGAAGACTCTTGCATCTCTTCGATACTGAACATCAGCTCTGAGGGCTACAGGGTAGATTGCACACATTTACTTCAACACTGGTGTACTGCGGGCATCGTGGCTGATGGGATTCCCTGCTCCAGGGAGGGTCTGAGAGGCACCAGCTGTGGTCTAACGAAAGCTTTGCTCAGCCTCACTGAAGTGCTTTTAACTTTGCCTTACTCACCTGCATGAGGGCCCATCAAGCACTATCATTCCCATTGTATAGTGGGGTCCAGTGAGGCTTAGAGATTCTAAGTAACTCACCCAAGGCCATCAAGCAAATAGCATATCTGGGAATCAAATCCAGGTACTTGACTCCAGGTCCACGCTCTCAACCCCCACCCTACGCTCCCTCCCACTCGGGGTAGATGCATGCACCTTGGAATGGAAATGGGTCTTCACAATGAGAGCTTACTCCAGGTCTCATTGGGGGAAAAAAGTCTGAATCTTACGTCCTTCATTTTATAGAGACTTGATGGAGAAAGAAGGAAACAGAAGGCTGGAGTTCTGATGCCCCTGCTGGTCCTTTTGAGGTGCCTAAGGGGATGAGCCTTTGGTTTGGAGGAGGGCATTAATGATCTTTAGGAAACAGAAAGATAGTCCTGGGGTCAAGAAGGCAACGAAGGGCAGAAGTGCCCTGCAGAAAAAAAGGAGGGTGGTGTCCTGAGGGCTGATGGGACCCGAGCAGCCTGGTGAATGGACATGGCCAGCAAGGCACCTGAAATGTCTTAAGAGACTCTAACGCACCATGGCAGCTCTTTTCTGCCTGTGGTGTTAGTCTTCCCCTTGCCCCAAACTCCACCGAAGGCTGTTACACAGACACAGGTGTCTGTGGTTGGCTGAGACCCAAGTCTGGGCCTGTGCAGAACTGAGAGGAGACCTCAGCCTCAGAGGGCGAGACAAATGGGATGGGAGAGAGCAGGTGCTCAGACAAAGATGCTCCCAGACGGCAAGCCCTGGCATTTCGCAGATGCCGTGTGTGAGGGTGGGGGTTAACTCTGGGCTACTTGATTTAAATCTCATGGGAGAATGTGACTTGGCTGATGTGCAGGTTACTCTGGAGTTTGGTATTTGTGAGGTCAGTTGCCTTGAGTTGCAGATGGGTGTGTGAGCCGAGACACAGACTGTGTTACAGAGGGGAGAAAACGGATATGAGGGGTGGAGGGGAGGTGAAGGAGGGATTGCGTGTGTGTGTGTGTGCGTGTGTGTGTATGTGGGGAAGGGAAGACACTCAGGAGAATGCAGAAGAATCATAAAGGCAATGCACTGGAGAGGAGAAAGGAACTGTGGTTCATAACCTTGTAAGGGGTTCCAGATCACCCTGAGAATGGGATAAAAACTATGGCCTTTTCCAGAAGAAACAAAATGACCAAAATGACATATTTGAATGTACCAAATATTTTGCCACAAGGGGGACCTGAGCCCATCTACAGACTCCAGGTGGAGTCCCCACTGCTTAAGGACTGTTCTGGGGCTGGGCAGCCACTCTTAACCACGGTGGAAAGGGTTTTCTGCTGGAGCCCTGGCTGTGGGCCTGGGGTGAACAACACCTGAGCGCTGGGCTGATGAACTAGGAAAAGGCTTCCTGACTCCCAGGGGGCTAATTAGTAAAGGTGCCCACTCTGGGGTGATTGCGCCTTACAGGGCTGTCACTTGGTATTATGAGCTGAATTTTGACTCCTCATAATCCATCTTTTGAAGGCCTAACACCCAGGACCTCAGAATGTGTCTGTGTAGGTGTTTCCAGACTCACAATGGTTGGACTTAGGACTCTTTGACTTTACAATGGTGTGACAGCTATGTGCATTCAGTAGAACCTGCTCTTTGGATTTTGAATTTTGATTTTTTTCCTGGGTGAGCGATATGCAGTAAGATATCCTGGTGATACCGGACAACAGCAGCCAGCCTCAGCTCTCCGTCAGCCAGGTGATCACGAGGGTAAACAACCCATTCTCTACAGTGTAGCATTTAATGCACTTTTTCTTTTGGATGTTTTCAGTTTATGATGGGCTATGGAGATGTAGCCCCACCATAAGTTAAGGACCATCTTTATTTGAAAATCGGGCCTTTAAAGAAGTGATTAAGGTTAAATGAGGTTATATGGGTTGGCCCTAATCCAGTATGACTGGTGTTGTTATAAAAGGAGGTGTTAGGACATAAACACACGCAGAGGGAAGACCATGTGAAGACACAGGGAGAAAGATGACCACCTACAAGCCACGGAGAGAGGCCTCAGAAGAAACAACCCTGCCGACACCTTGACCTTAGACCTCCAACATCCAAAACTAGGAGCTCATAAATGTGTTGTTTAGCCACTCAGTTTGTGCTCTTTGTTCTGGCTGTCCAAGCAGACTAATGTTCTTGGTGAACAAGGCCTGAGGTCGGTTCACAGCCCATGCGCTCTTTTGGCTGAAAAACTTGTGCAACGAACTGCACAACGTGACAGGGTGGGCCTGTTTGTGTTGCACTTGCAGGGAGACTCACATTACTTACCCAGACGCCTGCCCAGAAGGGATAGCCTCCGTACAGTGAGACAGGTGTGTAGACCCCCAGCAGGATGGTCCCCATGATGCTGCCGAGGCCGATGTGTATGAGGCCGATCAGGATCTGGATGGCCTGTCAGGGGAGACACAGGCTGAGGCCTTTGCTTCTGAGACCCTCCCCCACCGCTGTGCAGGTAAACACGGTGCTCGCCTCCTCCCACAACCACATCAAAATTTTGTAATTTTGTAAACTACAGAACAACCATCATTCAGAACCACCCGAAATTGAGCTGAATGGAAGCCCTACAACCACTAAATTAAAGAAAAAGCCACGTCAAGACTGGTAGGAGGGCAGAGGCTGGGAACAGACTGGTCCCACGCTCACAGGTGGCAGATGAAAGTCAGGAGGGAACCTCAGCTGCGGAGGCCCCCTGAGGAGCCAGGGGTCCTAGTCCCGCACCAGGGCCCCCAGCCCTAGGTTCCAGTCCCAGGAAGACGAATCCCCTTGACTTCAGGCTGTAAAAACCTGCAGAGATTGAGGCCGAGGGGGGCTGAGGCTGCTGGAGTCCCAGGCAGTTTCTCTTAAAGGGCCAGTGCACGGACTTACTTGGACTCGTTCCCTCTGAACTACAGGGGTCAACATAGATTCTAGCAACAGGACCAACATTCCAATTTACGGCTCTTTGTTGTTTTTCTTTCTCTTTCCTAACATGCCTAAGATAGAAAATACAAGGTCTTATACCGAGGCGCTGCTGCTGCTGCACAGTTGAGCTGCTTAATAGGCCTGAGTTTGGCAAGGCTGGGTCAGCTCCAGCCCCACTGGCTGGATTTGGAGTTTCTGTATTTCCAATCCTGCTCCCTCCCCTGACTCCAGCCATGCAGCCCTGTGCATGTGGTGTGAAATCTCACTTACCCCTAAAACTTTACCCTCTTTCAAGGATCTCTGGTCAGGTTGCGTACACACAGGTGGCTCCAAACGATGTGGGTTCCCAGGAATTAGGTGGACTTGGGGCTGGCTGAGTGGATACAGGGGCACCTGAGACATGCTTCCCGGGGTCACAGGATACCTGTTGCGGGATGTCACCACAAACACAGAATTGGGCATGCGGCATGCTGAGGTCATCGAATTCATGCTGACCTACAAAATAAATGCAATAGGGTTGTCTCTCACATGTGCACTAATGTTTACATTGAAAAGGATTTCTGCTTTCATTAACTCATTTGAGCATCTTAACCCATTATGAGTTTATTAATTGTTTTAGAGATATTAGGTAGTAGTTAAAGGGCACTTTCGCAGTCAGTGCTTTACAAATACATTTCCTGAGAGGATTTCAATATGGCAGTGGAGTAGGTGGAAGCTACAGACACCTCCTTCCAGAACCAAACTGGAATTACAACTTAATTAAAGAGCATTAATCTAAATAACTCACTGAAGACTAGCTGAAGAGTAGTCTTATAAACGAAGGATTTACAGAAGAAGCCACATCGAGACTTACAGGGAGGGTGGAGACAAAAGAGGGCTGGCTCTGCTCTCCTGAGCCGCAGCTGTGATTCTGAGGGATATCTCAGATGTGGGGGAGGCCTAAACCCCAAGCTGGCTTCCCCAGCCCAGAACACCAGAGATGGGAAGAGATACCCACATGACATCTGGCTGTCTGCCAGGGAGAAACGGAGTGTGCTGGAGACACAGGCACCCTTTTAAAGGGCCAATGCACAAAATTTTGTTCACAACCACTTACCCTGGGCTCTGGTGGAGGGAGCACAAGGTGGACTAGAGTTGCCTGAGGAGATTCTGGAGTTTCTGGCTCTGGGAAGGAAGCTGGGGAGACAGGCACCAGGATCCCTGTGCTGAGTCATTCTTCCATACCACAAATTCCATCTTTCCTAGGTGGAGCACCCTCTTTGTGGCACTGGCCTAGGGGAAAGAATTTTCTCTACCCTCTGGACTCCCTCTCACCCCAACCTGTGGAGTTTAGGAACTTCTGATGAGTCAGCTGCTTTGGCCAGGGTGTAGAGTTCTGGACAGACTCAGCAGGTACCAATGACTGAGGGGTCTGATTTGGGGTGGGGGCCAGTTACCCCACTCTCCTGTGATTTTGACTGGCACTTCTCCCCATGGGAGATCTGATAGAACCACCCTCTCAGCATCCCACAGACCCAACCTCAGGACTCTGGAGGCCTCACTAGCCCAACTCTTAGTGGTTCCACCCTGCCAAGGTCAGCACAAAATCCAGGACAGGCTGAGTTGTGTAGGACAGGGACTACACCCATCACCTTTCCTGAAGCCTGACCAACACCTCCACCTTACAGGAGATCCACTAAAACCAATCCTTCCAACTCCGCCAAAGTCTCTTACAGTGACTGAGCCTAATAGGCAGCCAACAGGCTGAGGGCAGGTGGAGGTGAATCTCGAAGTGTCTTGGGACTTTTGCTGACCTACACATGGCCTGATGCTGGGAAAAGTCGACTTTGGTGCACAGCTTGCTCCTTCCCATGTGCACCCAAGAACAGCAGATGAAGCCACAAACTGTGGATTACCTGTAGCTCCAAACAAATTGCTGAAGGCCAGGCACAGACAGTGTCTGACATTGGCCAGCATCAGAGTCCCTCCCAAGATGCCCAGGCTAACACACACAGTGGCCTATTTCTGATAATATCAGACCAGGATTCAATAAGCTTCAAAAACAGAATAGTCAACGGGTGATCTCAGCAGGCACCAAACCCTGCTGATTAGCACCTGCATAGAAGCTTGCATGCCATGGTTGGGGTTGAGCTTCACAGTCAAGCCAGTCTAAGGGTCAATCCCACATATGAATGGGCCAATAGCAATCAAGACTTAAGTACAATAGGAAGGCCCAAATAACCCACCACAAGGGACATTCCTAAAGCACCCAGGTTGGGTGGTCAAGAAGACTATGCTACTAGGTCCCACAGGACAGCTACTACATAAGGCGATCCCATGAAGACTGGAACTCATGGCAGATCTATCTAATACATAGAAACAAACATAAAAAGGCAGCCAAAATGGGAAGAAAAAGACACAGACCCCAAAGTAAAGAACAGGATAACTCTCCAGAAAAAGAGCTAAATGAAATGGAGACAATCAATTTATCAAATATAGAGTTCAAGGTAATGGTTACATGGATGCTCAAAAAACTTAGAACAGCAACAGCATTAACAAGAACATAGAAAACATAAAAAAGTACCAGTCAAAAATGAAAAATGCAGTATCTGACATCAAAATATCCTGGAAGGACTAAACAGTGGACTGGCATGTGATATTCAAAGTGATGAAAAGTGAGGACCTATAACCAAGACTCCTTTACCCAGCAAGGCTATCATTTAAAACAGAAGGAGAAATAAAGAGCTTCCTAGAGAAGAAAAAGCTAAAGGAGTTTGTTACCACCAAACCAGTATTACAAGAAATGTTAAAAGGCCTGCTTTAAGTAGAAAAAACAAACAAAGAAACAAAAACCCCAGAGAAACATAGTTAAAAGGATAAGATGGCAATAAATATGAGACCTATCAATAATTACTTTAAATGTAAACGGCTTCAATTCTCCATTCAAAAGGCACAGGGTAGCTGAATGGATAAGAAAGCGAGATAAGGTGTCCCCAAAAAAGTATATACACACTTTGAATAATTATAAAGGCAGTGTTTATTAAAACACATTTCATNAAGACTCATATATATATATATCTAGGGTGTCCCCAAAAAAGTATATACACACTTTGAATAATTATAAAGGCAGTGTTTATTAAAACACATTTCATTTTCAAAATTGAGCTACCAGCTGTTAAAGTATGAATACATTTTGTTGGGACACTCTGTATATGTTGTCTACAAGAGACACACCTCAGAATAAAAGATACACACAGACTAAAAGTAAAGGGATGGCAAAAGATATTGCATGCAAATAGAAATGAAAAAAAAAGTTGGGGTAGCAATACTTATATCTGACAAAATAGACTTTAAAACAAACGCCATAGTAAGAGACAAGGAAGGACAATATATAATGATAAAGGAACAATCCAACAAGAGGATATAACCCTTGTAAACATTTATGCACCCGACACAGAAGCACAGAAATATGTAAAGCAAATCTGGATGGACATAAAAGGAGAGACTGACGGTAATACAGTCAGGGGATTTTAACGCCTCATTGACATTGCTGCATAGATCTTCCAGACAGAATATCAGCAAGGAAATGGTAGACTTAAATGACACACTAGACCAGATGGATCTAACTGATATCTTCAGAGTGTTTCAATCCTAAAGCAACAAAATATACATTCTTTTCAAGTGCACATGGAACATTTTCTAGAATAGACCACGTGTCAGGACATAAAACAAGTCTCAATAAATTTAAGAAGATAGCAATCATATCAAGCATCTTCTCTCACCAAAATGGTATGAAACTAGAAAGCGATCACAAGAAAAAAATGGAAGAATACACAAAGATATGTATAAATGTGTGTTACTAAACAGTGTGTTACTAAATAATGAGTGGGTTAACAATGAGATCAAGAAGGAAATCAAAAGAACCTTGAAGGAAATGAAAATGAGAACACAACAACCCAAAATCTATGGGACACAATGAAAGCTGTCCTTGGAGTGAAATCGATAGCATTAAAGGACTATCTCAAGAAACAAGAAAAATCTCAAATAAACAATCTAACTTTACACTTTAGGAACTGGATAAAGAACTACACACAAAGCCCAAAGTGAGTAGTAAGAAAGAAATAATAAGGATCAGAACAGAAATAAACAAAATAGAGTCTTAAAAAACATACACACAATACAGATGATCAATGAAAACAAGAGCTGGTTCTGTGAAAATATAAGCAAGATTGACACATCTTTAACCAGACCCATTAAGAGAAAAAGAGAAGACCCAAATAAATAAAATCAGATATGAAAGAGGAGAAGTAACAACTGACACCAAAGAAATACAAAGGATTGTAAGGAAATATTACAAAACTATATGGCAACAAATTGGACAATCTGGAAGAAATGGATAAGTTCCTAGATACACATAATCATCCAAAACTGAATCAGGAAGAATCAGAGAATCTGAATACAGGTTACAACTAGTGAAGTTGAAACAGTAATAAAAAAAATCCCAACGAACAAAAGTCCTGGACCAGATGGTTTTACAGGTGAATTTTACCAAACATTCAAAGAAAAACTAACACCTAACCTTCTGAAACTATGCCAAAAAATTTAAGAGGAGAGAAGACTCCCAAACTCATTTTACAAGGCCAGCATTATCCTAATTCCAAAACTAGATAAAGACACTACAAAGAAAGAAAATTATAGGTTCAACATCCCTGGTGAACATAGATACTAAAATCCTCAAAAAAATATTAGCAAACCGGATCCAGCAATACATTAAAAAGATCATACACCATGCTCAAGTGGGATTATTCCAGGGATACAAGCTTAGTACAGTATCCACAAATCAATAACCGTGATACACCACATAAATTAAATGCAGTATAAAAACCACATAACAGCCTTGGCTGGTGTGGCTCAGTGGTTAGAGTGTCAGCCTGCCAACTGAAGGGTCGAAGACTCAATTCCGGGTCAAGGGCACATATCTTGGTTGCAGGTTTACTCCACAGCCTTCGTCTGGGCGGGTGTGGGAGGCAACAATCGATGAGTCTCTCTCATATTGATGTTTCTCTCTCTCACTTTCTCTCTCTTTCTCTCTCTCCCTACCTCCCTCCCACTATCTCTAAAAAATCAATGGAAAAAATATCCTCAGGTGAGGATTAACGAAAACACATATAAAAAAACCCCATAATCATATCAATAGATGCAGAAAAAGCATTTGGTAAAATTCAGTACCAAATGAAAAAACTCAGCAAAGTGGGAATAGAGGGAACATACCTCAACATAATAACTGCCACATATGACAAACCCACAGCAAACACCATATTCATTGGGCAAAATCTAAAAACGTTTCTCCTAAGATCAAGAACAAGACAAGGATGTCCACTTTCACTACTCTTATTAAACAGTACTGGAAGTCCCAACCACAGCAATCAGACAGGAAGAGATATAAAGGAAGTGAAATTGGAACGGAGGAAGTAAAACTCATTATTTGCAGATGATATGATACTGTATAT